ATTAGATGAAAATAAATAATCAAAATAAATGAATAAGAATTGTTTTGATAATTTCAAATGCGAATATTTCATCAAGTGATACTATGCTTACATCATATTCTAACGTTATCGTAGCATTGATTCCGTCAAGGGAAGTAATTAATTGAATTTGTCTATTAAAGATTAATTAAATTATCAGATGTAGTGCAATTCTTTTAATACTGAACAGTACTTGATTATTTGAAAATATATGCAAATTTCTTAAATAAAACTTATCATACCAATTAATCTTTTATAGCTAATTAACTCACAATTTATGCTAACTTCTATGATATCACCATTATTTTATTCAACTTTTTCAAAATTCTTTGGTTTTATTTAATTAGTTATTGTTATAACTAAAGAAAAATATATAATTAAAAAGATAGTAATTAAAATTTGTTGACACAATTGTTTTTTCGTATTTTTATTAATTATAAAGTTCAAAAAAAGAAAAGAACTGAAGAATTTATTGATGATAAATATACCTGAACAGAATGAAATAATAATACCACAAGCAAGTGAAATTAAAGCTAAAGGATGACGTCCAAAAATGTCCGATAATGTTCCCGAAATTACCGTACCTAATAGAACACCAAGGAATTGTATCTGACTATATAAAGATGCCCAATATGCGGATGCACCACAAATCCAATCATATTCGAGAGCTGCTGAAGAAAATGATATCTAAAAAGTTATTAATTAATTGATGGAAACATAAATATTTCATTAAAATTTATAAAAAGAAAAGTCAGTGAATAGGTTGATTGAAAGACGTTAATGTATTTTAAAATAGAATTTATTGATTGAATTTATTTTTTAAATATTATAAATATTTACGAAATAATTAATCATTGCTAATATAATTTAACAATTAATTGCAAATTTAATTAAATTCATCCAAAATTATTCTTGTAAACAAATTTTTGTCCCTTAAAATAACAGTATTATTTTGTGTATTTGGCTAATCATATCAAGTCATGTAATTAGCCGATTAAAGATTTAATTACTAAACGTACAATAGTTGTAAATATACTGGCTAAATATACGGTAGTAATTATGTTATTATTTTAACTACTGGATAAATTAAGCATTTCGTTCAAAAATAACGGTTTTAAAATTATTAATACCAATTTTCTTTTCTTTTCTTTTTTTTTGTTTAGTATTAAAAACTAACTAATTACTTCCAGTCAATGATTCAAATCTAAATTATTAATGAATTTGATTAATTTTTAAATCAAAAAAAAAGAATTTAATTTAATCAGCTGCGTGTTCTATTCTTTTTCTCATCAATTTACACAAAAGTTTAACATCCTTTAAATAATTCCCTAATTGATGAGAAAACTTTGCTGAAATTGAAAAAAATTAGGCAATGAAGAAATAATTATTCAATTTTTAATAAACATAACGAAAGGAATGATACTACAGTGAAATGAAATGAAATATTTTAATGACAAAAAAAAAAAAAAAAAAAAGAAAATTGTAAAATGAAGGAAAATAAAATAAAACATAAAAGATAAGAATGTGATAGAAAATGGAAATAATTAAACATCGATTAGTTAAATAAAAATATAGCAAATAATGTATTATTAGTGTAAATGTGCAAATAAATGAATAAACAAATAAGTAAACGAATAAATGAATAAACAAAGGAATAAGCAAACAAACAAGCAGATAAACAACAAATAAACAAACCAAAAAACAAACAAATAAACAAGTAAGTAAACAAAAAAAACAAACCAACAAACAAATAAATAAATAAACAATGAAATAAATAAATAAGTAAATAAATAAAACAAAAAGCAATTAATAAAACAAACAAATAAATAAACAAGTAAACAAACAAGTGAATGGATAAAAAACAAATGAATAAGTAAATAAACAAACGAAAAAAAAACAAATAAATATGAATAAATCTACCAAATAACATCCTTTTTCTAAAAAAAAAAAGTAAATAAATAAATAATAAACCAGAAAATAAAAATAACTAAACAGTAATTAATTCAATGAAAATATATTATAAATGGAAATAAACAAATAATTAATTGAAATACCTCGTCGAATTGAATATTATCTTTGCATGATAGAAAAATAGTACAATTATTTGAAAATGATTGATTAATCGAGCAACGCCATTGTGGGATATAATTTGAAAATATGGGATAAATCATTTGTGTTGCGAAAAATATACTAAATTGCCAGGTAATTAGGACAAATATATGGAAGCGATTAATATTGAATAGCATACTTTCAACTTTTCAATCTTCAATTCAACTTTTAATCTGAAATATTATAAAATTAATAATTTAAAAAATTTTTAATTCACATTTTTACTAACCAAAAATAAAAAAAGAAATAAAATTAGAAAGTTTAAAATTAGACAAATATGATTTTAAAAAAACAAAAAAAAGTAAGCAATACAAAAATACAATAATAAAAAAATGAATTCTAAAAATTTGAAATACAAATTTATACAGTATAATTAATTTGGTTCTACTAATACAATAACCATTTAGTGGATTTAAAATAATTATTTCGTATTAGAGAATGATAAATGATAATAAATGATTATTTTTTTTTGAAAAAAAAGATCTAAATTCGCATATTTCCAGTATTTTGGTAAAACATTTCTAGTAATATTGAAAACAGATTTAGAAAAAAAAAAAGAAAAAGAAATGATACTTAATCAATTATATTTTGAATAAAAACTATAATTTGAAATCTTCGATTTGATTTATCAGAACTATCAAATTGATAACGTTTTTCAGTTGCAATACTAAATGTTTTGATAAGAGAAATCATAAACGAACAAATATACATATGTTTGTAGAATTATAACATTATAAGTTGATAATGATAAGTATTAGAAAAATAAATTTAAAATCAAATATTAGCAAATTCGAATGAAATGAAAATGAATAAAATGTAATACTTCACAATTATTATCATATTTTGTCTTTTTATAAAATTGTTTGATATTTCCAAGGTTATTTTTCTTTTTATTTTTTTACTTAAAATTTACCAAAAATTTATTATTTTTATCTTTAAAAATTTCAAAAAATTTTTTAAAATGATAAAACCATTTTTCTCAAAAACATATTTATTAAGATGCTAGCATTATCTATCTTTTATTATATCCTATCAATAAAACAATTAGCAATACCATTGATAAGATTGATGGCATATTGATAATATTAAAGTGTTATAATCAATTATGATAAAAAAAACATTCACCATTAAAATTTCATTACATTCCTTCTAACTATTAGTTAATACGTAAGAAAAAAAAGGAATCAGAAAGATATTACTGATAAAAGTATTTTGATAATTGTACAAAATGACATTATGACACTGTACAAGCAATTGATGATGATTGTTTGATAATAACTGATAACTATCTCAATAATAATCAGCAGTGATATGTTGATAATAATAGAATAAACCTATTTTAATGACAGTGTAAGGAAGCAAAAAAAAAAAAGAAAATAAATAATGATAAAAAAGCAATGTTACTTCAGAACTAATTAGTAGGCTAATTTAAAATATTAATTAAGGAAAAATTGGAGAAAGCAAAAAAAAAGAAAAATGGATAGGATTGAAAGATGAAAAAGACCTTTTGTTGGGAGTAATTGAAAAGTAAATGATGTTAAAATGTATACTGTGGTAGAGGTTTAGCGATCAATCTGACAATATGGTTGACAATGAATTGAAATAAAAAAAAAAAAA